ATCCCTACCACAGTACTCATCTTACCCTCTCCGAGCCTTTGTGTCTGTCTGTTTCTTTTACACCTGTGAATCACTCTTCTGTTCCCCTCCCGAATACTTCTCACTTTGATGTTCCTCCTCCTCTCTGTGAAGCCAGAAGTCAACTAAAGGGCTAATGATAACTATCAAGACTCCTGCCATTTGAAATAAATAAAATCCTAATAAATAAAATATTGGCATAGTTATTAGCGTCTTCCGGCTCAATAGTTAAATCTGCTATGGAAGTTTAGTAAAAAGCAAATTTGGTTTTACATACATCGCAAACTCGATCAAAGAAAACTAGCCGTTTACCTGACCTCACGATGACCGCAAGTTATGACAGGCCACGGCATTATTGCCCCCTGACTACAAATTTTGACTTCTTGGCGAAGTATTAACTGAAAAAGACAAATTCCTACACTAAAGTCAAAAATCTATAAATAACTCGAGCTCACAATTGCCAATGGAAGATTAGATTAGTGATTCACCTACTTAGAAAAAGTCGTCAATCACTAACGATTTCGATCAAGGCATCTCGTTCTTCATTGTTCGTGGGTGCTCTTCTGAAGACAATTCTGTCGCCATTAAGAGAGTAGATACGGAGTATAAACTATTCATCAAGGGGGTGGGAATTGAAGTTAAAACTTAAAGTAACATTAAAAGTAAGTTAGCCGATTAAATGTGGAAGAAAAGCACCAGGCAAATTAGCTATAAGCAAATGAGATGAGACTTTGACCAACAACAAGCAGACCCTCGAAATCTGATGGCAGGACATTTGGAGTTGAATATCAAGGCCTTGAATGACCTCAACCTGTTATGAGAAGTCGTGAAATTATGCCGCTTTTATTAGGTTCCGAAAACCAAACCACAAAGAAAGGTATCTCAGCCGTGTCATGGACTTCAGTTAATTGCAAATTGAGCTGTCCACAAAATTCGATCGCCAATGCATAGATCCACACAGCCAAAGGGACTGGAAACTGATTGTAAAAAAGCACATAATCTAAGCGTTCAGCAGGCCTTAAACATTTTACCGATTGATTAACCAAAAAATCTTTCATGTATACTAACAAAGCCAGAGAGAAATGTACCTTAGCTTTGCCATGACAACTAAAAGTAAGCACAAATTCTCCCAGACGCGTTTCACTCTGCCTGACCAGAAACACTCCATCCGACAAGCCGGAAGCCACTGAGTGGTTCGTTCCAGACGAGGAGAAAAGCGCTGTCGGGGAACCACCATTGCCTCCACTTCCCTCTGTCGTTGTAATCCCATCCACTTCAGCCGGCTGTCCGAGCACGAATGCGGTGGCTGCTACTCGCGACAAAGTCCCATGGTACCAGGGGTAATTGGAGAGCAACTTATCACATGCAAAGGGATTACTACTACAGCTGTTGTCCAGATGGCCACCGGTGGTCACATCGCCAGATATTGTGACGACTGCGGTATTTGGTGCAGTGGTGGTGGTGGTGGTAACTGAAGGGTGTTCTGTTGGCGCGATTCGATGGAAAGCGGCGGGTGGTCGGGAAGGAAGCGGACATACGAGAGCTAGAATGAAGGTAAGAAGTTATGTAACAAAAATTCAACCGGAATAAGGACATAAATATCAAGCGAACCCAGTTCTTTGATTGCAAGTCAATTTCTATGGCGTCAAAGCAGGCAAGTAATGAGAAACGAAATGCAATTAGAGTACGTGGTTCCAACAGGTAAAGGTTAGAAGGCTTAAAAGTCGGTATAAATGAGAAAAAGACTACTTGCTAAAAAATTAAAAATATCTGCATCTTTTTCAACAGAGAGGCTGGAGGATGACCTCTAACCATAAATTATTTAGGCGAATGATGTAGATTGGTATAAAATGTATTGATACTTCAGCTTATTACCCTGATTTTGTGTATATTTTGTTTATAGACTGAAGGTAAATTTGAATGAACCTTTAGTTGATATTCAGAGAAATCACCTGGTGAAAAGGCTTGAAGATTCAACGAAAATCCTTTACCTCAACAAATAAATAGTCACGGCAAAAAGCAACATAAGAAATGTAACTAGAGTGAAGATCCAGTCTCTGACATCCATTGAAACCCATCAAGACACTAACTAAATCACCGCACTCAGCCATTTATCCACACCCATGAAACTGCATTACGGATAGAATTAGCAATATCTAGTCATGGGAAAGAAACTGATTAAGAGAAGACGCAAATCTCTATGGGTTAATGACAGACGAGTTTTAATTAAAATTCAAAATTAAAAACAGGTGTTAACCTGCAGTTTCTTGAATCGTTGAGAACTTCACTGAGGACCATTTGTTCTAGGAAGTTCTAGCATCTATTTCGGCATGAAATTCTGTGGGCATCACCCCATTTACGATTGAATGAATGATTCTCAAATGTCATGGTATATACCTTCTCGAACATCTAAGTATCCAGAGATCTGCATATGCCATACATGGAGGTCAATTACTTTCTTTGATTATGTTTAGAGGGAGAAAAAGCTTCAAATAGGTTCATTTTATAATAGAAATAATCACTAGATTCCACTCGACGCATTCAATTAAAATGAGACACATAGCATTGCTGCAAATAAAGGCAAACTTTCAGTGAAAATTGCAACAGGCAAAGACACTCCCGAAACAAGATAACTCGAAGAAAACTCAATATTGCATAGCGACGAACATGTACACTCGGAGTTCAATGTCCATCGGTGTCCACAGAGTGAGTGAAACGACCAAAATCAATAGTTAATTTATGACTAATTAAGGAAAGAGAGAATTCGATTTTTTTCATTAAGGGAGCTCCGTCATCCAAGAAAAATGGTGAACTTGGAAGTTAATACTGAAATAGGTAAACCAAATGAAATAGGGGAATAAGAGAATGAAAGCTTACTTCCAGCACCCTGAGAAGTGAGCGGCTGTTGAGAGGAGATCTGTTTGGGCATAAGGGAGGAATTCGACTGCTGCGAGTGGGACTGTGGAAGATGGTGGTGATGGTGGTGGTGGAGAGTCGTGGAATCCATCATCATACCTGTGTTGGAAGAGTCTGAATGCTGACGTGCAAAGTCATCACCAGTGCCAAGCAGCTTCGACTTTGGAGCGGAACTGAAAGGTAAATGCATGCCAACTTTTACGACTTTTAGAAAGTCGATCGCACCATTTTAAACACTTAATCCTATCTATTCCAAATCCTCCCCACTAGTGGGAATCCATGAAATCCCACGTGCCACTTTATAATTGATAATAAATCGAAAGATCAATCTGGCTGACAACTTGCTACAACATCACAACAACTAGGCGAAAAGGAATGCCAATGGATAAAAGAAGCATAGAATGAATAACACAGAGAGGACACAAAGTGGAAGAATTTTCGAAAGTGAGTCCCAGAGATGTAGAAATAGAATACTCCTTGTCCTCTTATCGAGTCAATACCCAATACACCTCGATAACTGCCAATTATTCAGGGATGAGAAAAAAAGTACAACAGTGTCGGGGGGGGGGGAAGGGGGGAGTAAAAGGGGAGCTAATAATTTTCAAAGCTCCAATTTACATTTCACTTTACTTTTTTCCTAACTCGGCTCTAATTGAACAAAGCCAATAATGTGTATTTACTCTCCATATTTGCTTTTGAATCCCCAACTGCGTTTTTTCCACACGTGTACACAAACAATCAGAAACGTCGAAGAAGAAGCCAATTTAGCAAACTACAGTAAATAAACGAAGAAAAATCAAACTAAATTACTTCTTCTTTTTCGTTGTAAATTTAGATTTGCAATCAATGTCAATGGATTGGAAGGCGTAAACAAACCTCGACATTATCTCGATTGGGAGAGTTGATAGTAAAAAAAGGATGAATTCCCCCTCCCCCCAACTGTTTGCTACAACAGGCAGCGTGGATTTGGTATAAACAGCGTAAACAAACAGTAGTCGCTATACACAGCCCGGAACGCACGTCTACTAATCTAGAAGACACGAGATCGATGCTCAGCTGGTTAATAAGTGAGGTGGCAGGAGAGCTACCAATTAAAAAAAAACACTTTTCTAAATGGCTTCGGTGTGTCTTACTGCCTCCATAAGCACATCTTAGTTTGCCTGTTTGTTAGTTTTTAATCGTCTGGCTATAAGCGCATATGCGTATAAGGATGTATTTATAAAATCAACCCAGATTAAATTCCTTCAACTCTTTGGCCCTAATTATACCCATATATATCCAAGCTCACCTCAATAAAGGCGGAGCGACCTGCCTCTGAAACTCGAATCCCGAGTTTGTCGTTGTCGCCGTCGAGGAAATAGCTGTCGTGGGAATAGGTTGGATGAGTTGAGGAGGTGATGAGAGTGAAGGCAGAGGTGGAGGAATCGGTTGAGCTGAAGGATTGCCGCTGCCGCCGCTGTCAAGAGAAACCAACCAGTCACCACCACTGTTGGCATGATGATGACCTCCAGTGCCGGGTGAGGGCGGTTGGCGAGCAGCAATGGCGGATGCAGCTGCAGCCGCCAGTGTGGTGGGATTTGTGAGGCAACGGCGAAGAGGTGGGAGACATTTGCGAATAGCTGCTAGCCAACAGGCTGCCTCATTGGAAGAGGAGGCTTCGAAGATCTTCTCATCTCCAGACTCCGTCTAAATGAAAAATAGGTACATTCAACGCGAAACGAATGTAAGGGGATAGAGAGTACAAAAAAAGAAAGAATAGAAATAATCACCTTTAGAAGAAAGACGTAATTACGGAAGTCAGTGAGTTCTGCAGGTCGTAAACGACGGAGATCAGCTATTAGACTACAGGTGATACCGTAACGAGGACAGTTGGACTAAAAATTATCAGAATAAACGTAAATGAGAATAAAAACATGATTGAAATAACCACGAAAGCTTGATTAAATTTGATCATAACCTTTATCGAGTCAACTTTGGGTTCGAAAAGTGAACCTTTCCATGACGACTTGCTCTAATTATTGGTGTAAAGAGAAATTATCTTAAGTGAAAGATTAACACGACATTTCTATCACTTGATTAATTTTCCCTTTCAAGACAATTCCCGTATGCATCTCAGAAGAGCACTTTCCAAACCAGAACTTATAAAAAGTGGGGTTTCAAATGAGAAGAGCATATATCTTAGCTTCCTTTCGATTGGCCAGTACCCGCTGGCATTGATGATCGCACCATTTATCGGATTATGCCAATAAGTGTAGTAATCACTACGCCAACTAGGGTGAATAACGCAGGTAGAGCTATAAAGAAGTCAACTTGGGATGATAATAAATCGATAGGTAGAGCTAGATTAGGAGCATAGCAAAGAGGAGTGAATATAGAATAATCGGATCTTAGACTACCATTTCACAATAGTCACTCAGCGTGTGTGGGTTCGATCGTAAATGGTAGCGCCAGACAAGCATACAATGCCACACACACATACACATTTCCGGTCATCTACGAACTCTTAAAAAAGGCCAGGAGTGAGTTAAATCTACATCCCAACGAGTTTTACGTCTTCGTTCATGTCAAAAACAACACAGCAGAATTGACACGCACACATACACACACACAAAAGTTAAATCCAACTTGAAATTTACCACAAAGGAAACGTGAATTTCAGCTTCAAACAACTGGAATTCTAACGAACGGAAAAAATTAGAAAATAAAAAAGACCAAGAAATCCAGTCGCGTATCGATTGAGAGTGCGAAGAGTGCACTTACCACCCCCACGCACCCGGATATTGATTATTGGCCTTCTCAATAAATCTAAAACCCTTTTCCAAAGTACACTTGATGAGGAGATAGAATCATACAGAAAATCAATTTCCTCCACCCTCACTATTATGGCAAGCCATTCCAACCACATTTGATGTTAATCACATAAAGCGTACCTTCATCCATGCACTCGAAGTGATCTCGAATACTGAGTATCGGCTTTAGTAATAATGACCAAGTCGTTAAACGAGAGCGTTTTTCAAAGTCCACTATGGGCAATGGGGGATAACATCAGGGAACTCCAGTCGAATTTCGGCCCTCTCTCGATCAGAAAAATCGGTATTTCAGCGCTGATGAACTAATCAGCTAACCATTCTAAGTTAAATAACCCTTCGGCAGAGGCCAACCCATGCGACACTTGTATGAGAAGAAGTAGCAAGGGCCTTCTTTGAGTGTTAGCTCCATGGTAATGGGTAAAACAATCAATTAACTGTTACGACAAAGCCCTAACTTCGATGCTCAAACACTATTTTCGGGGCAATCTGCTGAGCCAGCACAATCAGATCAAAGTGCCCGTTATGTTGTTTTCTTCTGGTCACAGCAGCATCGTAGTCTCCGTTTCAATTATCCAATTAATGGCGGATTCCTCTCAGTGTTCAGGGGGCACTGAAAAGCAACCAAATCCGCAGTTTTTGAGGCCGGTTCAAAGCATTATGTAAAAATCACGTGGATGTATGAAGAAAGGTTTGAACTTTAAAGAAAGCCTAGTTTGCGTGAATGTCTTCCGCCCATCTGGGAAAAATAAGCAAATATTTTTCTGAAAAATGATCTCGAACTACCCAGGCAAATGGGTGAAATAAAATCTAAATAGTGGACGAATGAACATTTAGCATGTACAATTAAGACGTATGGCTTAATAATTATCTGCCGAAAGAGGCTTTTAGACAAGAGGCTCTGGAACACGCTCGCCCCCTTAACAATGAGGGTCATTTCAAAGAATGCATATTTAGCTAGGCTGGCCAGCCATTGCGCTGACTACGCCAATGACGATAAATTAATTCCGTCCACGTGATCGTCTCGTTCTCTCTCCCACTCTCTCCCTCGCTCATTTGCAATATAAACATAAGATGGCTGTGGACGAACAGACCACATTATCCGTTAGGGGAGAGAGAGTGGAGAAGGAGGAGCGAGTTACAATATAATTTTTATTTTGAATATAAAGCAGTTAAGGCAAAAGTATGTTAATGCCATGGCTCCCGTTACATACGAATAAAACGAACCCCACTCCACCCCCCCCCCCTGCAATCCAGGGAGAGGAATATGAGCGGTGATATCCCACTGACTTTTGATGTCGTGGTGAGACACAAAATAGGAACTTTCCGCTGCCTCCAGGGTGATCCCATTACTAAACTACTGACTTGGATTGCTCAGCACTCAATCATCAATCATTGCCAAAACCAGAAAGGCTGAAACAAGCTTGAATACGTACATTCAAATAAGATACAACGCGGTTATGCCTCATATTCTGTTTCTAAGAAATACCCGGTCCTAAATATAAGGCAAATAAGATAAGTGACATTCCACTAGTCTAATTTATTTTTGGACTTATTCTACCATAAGACGAAACAAAGCATTAGAAGCTGTATGTGTGAAGGCATATGATTCTACCAGCCAATTAGAATGGGTGCAATACTTAAAAAACCATGTTCTATCACTTTTATGAGCCCCGCCTCTCCCTGCCTAAAGGAGAAACCAACAAGTGTCCGAGGAACCGCGGGAACTATCGAGAAGTTTAAATGATAAGCCAACAGCACACGAGTTCCGTGTGAATTACTGTACACTAGTTCTCCACTCTCTCTCTCTCTCTCTATCTTGTAATTTACATTTAGACATTTCAAACTCATCAGACTTCCTACTTACAATAAATTCTTCCCATTGAAGTTCTAATACTCTTCAAATTTCTTATCGAAGCTGTGAGAGCATGACGGATGCAGGTTGTACGCAAGATCTGACTTTCCTCTTCAAGCGGACTGAAGATATCTCGATGGTGATTGGTCCACATATTTTATTCATTCACTCCAGCCCCCCAGAATCTATGCAACTTAATTCTGCCAATACAAGGAAAGAAATTACTAAACTTTTTCTTCCGATCACTAACATCAGAGATATCAAACTCCTCTTCATTCAAAAATCCATAGGTCTGGAGGAGTCGATGAAAGCAGGGTGATTATCAGAGACTACCGAGGCTATCTTACCTCTCATTTGTATATGACAGTCAGCCAAGCACGGCAATGGTACAGAGATATAAGCATAGCCTTCCGCAATGCCATACCCAACATCAACCCATGAATATCACGTGACTGGAACGAATAATTAGTAGATGGTAGTATTCACATAAAAGCAGTGTCTACGCCCTCTTATACCTTCATTCAAACTACTTTCTCTCGTATATTCCGTGAGAGTAGTCAACGCGGTGGCAAGCAGTAAGCAAAAAAACTGCACCATGCAGAAAGAGCCGAAAGCATTATGATGATAAGTCACAAATCGCCATGCGTCCTGATCTAACTCCCACCCCTCCACCCCCCCCCCCACTCCCCTTCCTCAAAATTATCGCTTTTTCGAATTGGAAATTAAGGGAATTTGTTACATAATGGACAATTAATAGTGGAAAAAGGTTTTTTTTCCAAGTTTTTTTTGAAATCTTTCCTTTGTAGATTACCAGGAAGATGAAGAGGTTTTCAGTGTCTGGGGCACCCATGACGTCAAGTGCACCCAATACACTAAATATATTGATTCAGTATGGCAGGCATTTTCTCGTAAACAAATTCTCATGGGCTAAAAATTAATGATTTCTGAGATTATAGAGCCCAACCACCCACTGGCTCTAAAAAAACGGACATTAGAACCACATCGCAACAAATTAGATTGGGCGAAAATTGTGGAGATTATCTACTTAATAAAAAAATGAAATAAGGCAATAAAAAGATAACATACTGAGATAAAGAGTTGAATAAATAAACGAATGAGTATCAGTGAAGGCACTATACTTTAAGGATGTCATCCTGAATGAAACACACATTAAAGTATTGAACGAGACCAACAAGTATTGGTTAATAATTTAAATATTTTGATTTTAACATAGATAGGAGAATTATTATTAAAATAATGAAAACGATATTGATACACATATTAAGAATAGATTTAATAGAAATGAAGCAGATAATAAACAAGTTAATATTCACCTCAGGTGGTGTATAGACCTCAAGCACATAACCGGCAGACGTCCGCATGAGTAGGAGTCGCGATTTCGCCCACTGAGGATTATCTTGTAGTACCAGAAGACCCGTAACCGAGAACGCTGAGGAAATGGACGACGCAGAGGGAGGAGGCGGGGTGCACACGCCACTCACACCACCACCACCGCCACCACCTCCGTTTCCCAGACCTCCCGGACCCAACCATTCAGTTAGAACACCTTCAAGAATACACTCGCCAAGTAGGAGGATATTTGCACCGGGTGGTCGACACTGTCTACTCGCCTTAGCTTGATGATATGCAATGATACTAAAAAAGAGAGGGGTACATTAAGTAGGAAGATAGAAAAGTGACGTTTTACTCCACTTGTAGCAACTTCACATGAATAACGTATAGAGAGAGAGAGGGGGTGGGGGTCGGTATCAGTACAAATAAGGAAATATTGAGAACTGATCAGAGGTCACGAGATCAATACCCATCGGTACACATTCAGTGACGTAGGTACGCAGCTACACTGTCTAATTCTGACAAGCAAGAGAGGAGGTGAAATGTGACTTCCTATTAAAAGTAGGTCGATCATAGCAACTTTTAACTCAAGTCAAAGTGCTGTAAATAAGTCCCAGAATAGGCTTAGAAAGCATTTTTTCAAGAACTATCGGCGTGTTATGAAAAGTGGGTCAAGTAAGAAAAGGAAAAAAACTCGACCGAACCCAATCAACAAAAATGAAAAAAGCAGAGTTCATGTCTTGAGTTGGATTGTGCAATCCTCATCTAATGGGCAGTTCACGCTCCAAAGTGCAAAGTAAGTGAATCGTCTCTCTCCGATTTCTGAGTAAATTCTTGCCTCCCATTTCAAGTACATATCGATCGGCTGTTTAATTGTAATGACCAGTTACCCACTTCATTAATTTTTTTCCAATGGTTTAAGAAGGCAGAACTTCTAACTTATTAAACCTCAAACAATGGTGCTCACCCAACCTGAACGCTAGTAAAAATAAGTGGCAAAGAATATCAAACACAAGAAACATTCAAGTATCCCCACCTCATAATGTCGTCCTGAGGAAGAGGTTTCGAGGAAGGTGAGGAAGTTAAAGCTCCGGAATTCGGCGACGGTCTTCTCCTCCACAACAACACAAACGATCGCCTCAACCAAGATCCAGGTTTCCAACTTCTCTCCGCTTTGTGGTGATGATGCCCCTGAGAGCTAGGCGACAGTGGGAGGTGAGACTGCCCTGAAGGAAATGTAGAAGGAAGCGAGGCCGTGGCAGAGGCTGTCACCTTCCCCGTAGAACGTTGAGCAGCAGCGGCAGCGAGAGCAGCTGCAACCACAGTGCTGGCATTGACGTAAGAGGATGCTGGATGACCGCCTGGAGTCGAATCACCACAACCACCCCCTCCGCCGATAAGGGAGAGAGATGAGGAGGCGGCATTTGAGGATTCCTTCTCGTCCAGACCACCTTCGGAGTCAGCTCGATCACAGAATTCACCGGCCTCATCCGCCTTGGATTGTTGTTTTTTCTTTCGAAGGGAGTCTACAAAAGAGGAAGGTAGTAGAGTAATGACGACTCGCTATATTGAGACTTTCTTAGTGAGTTATGGAAAAGCATTTGACTTCGCCAAAAATTAATAAATCAACCCCTCTACTAATGATCTAATTAGCAATGAGGTGAAATATCGACCAGTGATTAAACAAACAAATCGACAGGTTAAGAAACCTAATAGAACATTTTCGTCCCATGGGCGCTGAATTACCTATAACTAATTACCGTTTGCTGCTGATGCGTCTCTGTTAGAACAGGCAATCTCACTCATCCACTAGGTATTTTGATAATAATAATAATAATGTTAACATTTTCTTAAAAATATCACAGTAATCGAGCTATATGACTACTGCATTCTTTCTAATAGATCTAAGAAATTCGTGCCAAAATCTTGATAGAATGAGAAAAAGTACCATGTACCTCCAAGGGGATTCCATGATGAAAAATACCTACGTTTGAAGATTTGAGGAATACAGTTAGAGAATGAACTAAAATGTACCTATGCGAAGAGCAGAATTCTACGCCACTCACAAACAAGAAAATATAAATTCGGTTGACCCTACACAATTGTGCTTTTCAACTATACTTTAAAATACTCTTGGACTCAACACCTATGCTGGTGTTGAGTACATTTTATTGGTAATATAACTCATTATCACATGACAGACGCTGTCAATACATTGACGTTCTTCCTTTGAATGCCAAGCCATAAGTACTGTGGAATAGTTTTATTTTCATCAAAAACATCCTCTTTGCATTCCCCTCCCTTAATAAGCGGAGCTTGGCAGACACACCAAATGGTCACACGCAAAGAGAGCACTCATAGGGCTAAAGCACATACACACCATTTTTGTCTGAGTTTGATTAGTGTAGTCCTCCAGTCAGGAGCCTCTCCACTCTATATTTTTTTGCAAAGAAGATTGGGAGTAATTAGAAGTGGGTATATGCGAGAGTACAGATCCAGGACCACCCCCATTATACATCAATCAATGGTACTAAGTTGATAAACTCCTTAACTAACAATCATACTCACTATGCCCAAAACCATAAATCGAAATAGATTGCTTGAATCTACTTGGTAGACGGAGGTGTAAGATTGCTTACTAACAGGGAGGGTAGGCAAGGAATGAGGAGTTACGGGGCCCTATAAAAGTGAGAGAATGAAATGGAAGGCACAATGCAATGGGAGTATTCGTACTTCCGATAAGTTTAGCATTTCAAGGGGGGGAGGGACAACCAAAAAATATTCAACCTTCAAAAAAAAAACAACCATTCATTTTTTAAGGCTTCCGATAACTGAGTCTATAAGCAATGAGGTATCGAGAAGCAATATAACACGGTCCATTAACTCAGTTAGATTTGAGAATATATATTGATTGTATTTGCTATTCATGCCTAATCCCTCAGGGCTGCAAATTGACGTAATTGAAGGAGTGATATGACCAACTGTTCAAGTGCATTTAATAGACGATAATACATATTGATGAGTTCATCTCAATAACCAGAGATATAATAACGAATATAAAGTTTTGGCACTTATGCAATTGACCTCCTTATGAGAAAAAGGAGAAATAACACTAGAATTGAAGTAAAGTAAAATTTCAACATTCTGATTGCGCATTACGACGCACTTCTACTCGACTTCCCTTATTTTCACTCCTTAATGAACTTATTTGCTATTTTGCGTGTTCAGAGGCAACTCGAGAGTTAAAATTGGCAAGGGTTATTTGCTTCCATTTTTATTAACTACAATGGGCGTTTAAAACTGTTAAAACGCAGAAATTCCAAACAAAATTTACAGAATTCGGTGAAACAATCTTTTTAAGTACCACTCCTTCATGCTCAAGTCTCGTCGCTACCTAATTCTAAGTAAGTAGTTAACTAATTCCATGCCACGAAGCAGTTGTACATTCATGGCAATTAGTTGTTGTCTGAGTCTCAAGTACTCTGCAATTGAGTCGGAAAAGCAAAAGAAAATCCTAGTGGATATCTAGCCACTTAGGATTAGAAACCCACTGAAACATCGTTGAGAACTAAATTAAGAAACCAAAATGTCAGGTGGTCTTCACTTCTACCAAAATCACTTAACGTAAAAATTTGAGAACTACTATTGGAGAACGTGGCGGCAATTCAAATACTCGTAATTGAATTTCACTAACAATCTAATAAGCTGCACAAACCACTGAACCAGTTAGTACAAGGGGGTAATTGTGAGCGTTTTGATGTGTGCGCCTATAAAATTATCCAAGCGCAACCATATATACCAAACAAAGTAAATCACCTATGAAGGATGAATGCACAATTATTGAATGAACTTCATGAGGCATTGTTAGAGAGAGAAAAGTGGGATTAGGCCAATAGAATTTGTCACCAATTGAACCTAGTGAGCACTGCGATGTTAAGTAATGGAAGAAAAAAATACTGTTTCCTGATAAACCGGATCACTTTTATTGCACACTTCTCCTCCTTGTCCCCACCCGTCGGGTTTTTTTCTTGCCTTAGCATTAGTTATATTGTTAGAAAAAACGGGCCGAAAAATGTATTCGCAAACTTTAGATACTGAACGGGAATTCGGATTTCCGAGCCTAAAGCATTATAACTAGGATAAAAAAAATAATTATTCGAGGGTTGAAAAAAATACTTGAAGTTGTGAGATTAGCAATATGACGAATCCGTAGGGAGTTTTACAATGATAACAAGATTAAGGTACATAATTGCATCGGAGTTTGGCAAGCAATTCGAGCAATCATTTAATTAGTATAAATTTAAGGAATTCAATTAAGAAGAAAGCTAAAAGACAGTCATATTGAAAATAAATAGATAGCAAACCTCTTGAAAATACACACTTTAGACACACACACATTTTTGGCAAAGGCAACTCTAATACAAAATGCTCATTCCCTACTCCCTCAACTAATCAACCTCAGCGAATGTGGGCTAATCGTCCCGCTTGGTGGAAGTAGGAGAAAGATATCAAACCGCTGCTACCACCAATAACCTACTATGGAAAGTTCTAGCAACAATTGATCCGAGGTGCAGGAACTCGAGCTGTTTTATGGGACTCAAACGCGTCTTTATATCCCTCTCGTGTTGATTGGAAATATTTGACGAGGTTAGACATCCACATTACCAATAGGAAGCGATCTTGCGACATCTAACGCGGTAGAGGTGACTTATGGTCACTGCGACACCAGTTCACAACTTATTAAATGAAATTCTCTCCACGCGCATTAATTAAAAAGCCGGTCATGTGATGGAATTGCCAAATAATTTAGGTGCAATACGGATCAACATATTCCCAAATGACAATCGGCTGCAGTCAGCTAGATAAAAGACCTACGTGTCTAAATTTTATTGTGCCAAATGCATTTGCCCACTTTTACAAACAAGTAGATATCAGCATGTACTGAAGCAATTATCTGAACCAGAGGACAAAATCCTTGCTACCAAATTACAGTAATATGCATATTAGAATTTTACAAAGAATCAGTTAATCTAATCTTGTCAGCGCGCCAGTACAAGCAAACTATTAAAGTCCGTACGAAACTGATACATATAGGTACTTCAGTGCTGATATTCTGCCATACAGCAACAGCGGCAACAATTGAGGCAGTTTTGCGCTTTCGTTAAGACCAAACTTTCATGAGAAGCAGAACTAATATATGCACATATCACCCTATTGCAATTAGTCGGAGAGCAGAAAGAGGGCGGAGCCATATAACGTTTGAGGGGCGTGCGATGGACTTACCTCCACGTGGTGCACCCTGGGCAACGTATACTCATACGGCAGAAAAGTCTATTAATCGGCAGTTGACTTCTGACTTCAAACTACCATCACTCCACTGTGTGTCATATTCGACTAGTTCTACAGTACTCACCCCACCTTTCATCTACCTTTGTGTCTGTCTCTTTTACATCTTTAAAACACTCTTCTGTTCCTTCCCCCCCCCACTCTCGACCTTTTTCGATTTGATGTTCCTCTCCCTCTGTGAAGCCTGAAGTCAACTAAAGGGCTAATGATAACAATCATAAAGCCTGCAATTTGGTATAAATAAATAAATAAATATAACGTTTGAGGGTGGAACCAATCTTTCACTAGCTATTAGCATAGCAAATTATGGCCCTTCGATTCAGTTTACTAGAAAAGGTGATCAACTATACAAACTCTCGAATTGATTGATGGGTGAATGCGCTCTATGGCTAAAAAAGGTCTTCCCATTCTCCCTAAGAGACAAGGTGGAAGGAAAATACTTAGTTTATGCTAAAAACGTAAATAGAAAAATATGACACAAATTTTTTCGTCTCCATAACCAACAGGCACTATTCTTTCAGAGGTTAGAAGTCCGAGCTGCAATTGCAAGATTTTAAGAACAGAGGAACCAAAACCAGTTGTGACATAAATGATTAAAAATCGACAAAAAAACCTGTTGGGGGAAAACAACAAGATTTGGATATGGCAGACACTTTACTAAAGATTTTTTGAGATGGAGTAGCCTAACATTTTCATCTTAAATTTACAAAAAATAAGTGACAGCGGATGCGGGGTGTAAAATAAGAATGGTGGTGACATCTTCCCCCAACCTCCGCGTCTAGGAGTACTCTTGATTACTACCGGGACTTCGCATTAAGTGGGTAACTAACAAGAGCATAAAATGGCAATTGGCCACACTAAGATGACGAACCCTTATACCTTGCTTTAAGATTCTTGACGCACAATTTTAATAGTCATCCAATTCAAAGTAGTCTTCAAAATGGAACTATGACATCGTTCAACCAATTCTTAATTAGTACAACAACAAATTTATGTCCAAACGCCACCTCAAGTAAATTGCAACAGAAAGAAACAATGCTTGGATAAATTCTCATGATGATTTTTAGACCAAAAAATTTTTCCATTGTATAACATCGAAAGCCATTAGAAATTCTTGAAAAAAATTGGTCTGCTAGAAGTGGATCTAGCTTATGCTCTTGAAGATGGAGAAAACGAACTGAGCAGACAGCCCTTTCTAACTACAAGAAAGCAGTTAG